GCGCGTGTGGGTATCAGGCCACATCTTTATGCCCAATTAAAGGAAAAGGGGAAATGTTTTGTATTAGGGTGAAAGTGGGGAAGGTATTAAGGCCTGCAGTACAGTTTCAACACATTTCCTTTTCTTCTTTTATTTTCTTTGTGTTTTGCATTGTTGCTCCCTCAGGGGAGCCCTGAGGGGAGACGAGTCCACCCTTGCTGTGTGATTGCCCTTGATGTAGCTGGCCATGGCTTGTATTGTCCCTGTTATCAGCTGGCTCCGGCTGCTTCCCATGCCTGGCCTTCTCGGGAAGCACAGTCAAGGAGAAAGGAGTCCTGCAATGCTTTCTGGAGCATTCCTTGCAGAGGTCTCAATGGTGGTCCAGTTATCCTTCGTGATGACTTTTACTAATGAAGGCGTCATCAGTATCCTAAAACGATATTCATCAATCATATACATGATTTAAAAAATCAGCGCGATGCTCTACTCAAAACATAGGAGAAAAATAAAGGCACATGTTTCAGCATGTCAGTGCAGGAAGCTGGCTCCACTAGGAGGTAGTTAGATGCTGCTTGTGTGGGTGGAGATGGCTGTCAGTACAAATGTCATGAAGGAGAATGACTGGAGTGTGGTGTTGTGAATTCAGACTGTTGTCATTGGTGGTTGTTAAATGTTTTCAACTCAGGGTAAACTTTTAAACAAAATAAACAAAGCACTGTCTTCCCTTGAGGTAATGTTAGTTGCATTCTTTTTTTTTTTTTTTTTTTTTTTTTTTTTTTGGTACAGAGTCTTGCTACAAAGCTTGGACTCCTAGTAATCCTCCTGTTTTCAGCCTCCCCAGCTCTGGGATTACAGGCAAGCACCACCATGCTTGGTCTTGGTGGCCAGCTCAACGTGCCTGGGTTGGGGCCAGCACGGCATATAGTCCTAGGGATCGAACCCTAGTCCCTGTGCTTGCCAAGCAGGCGCTTAGACTGCTGAGCTACCTCGCCAGCCTAGTTGCATTCTTACAAAATGCAGTGTATGATAAAAATACTTGGAAACGGGGCATAGCTCAGTGGCACAAGTATCTGCTTGGCAAGCACAAGGTCCTGAGTTTTATTCTCAGTACCATAAAATAATATAAAATAAAATAAAATCTCTGTGAACCAATCTTTATGTTTTTATGAAAAACAGATTGTGGGCTTAGGTAGTTAGGAACAGATTTTTCTCCTTCATGAGTGCTGGCCTAACATAACAAAGGCATTGGGTAGGAACATAAAAGGGGCTTCCTGTTTATTAGCATTTTTCTAATCAGTAATTAACTATTCTAGTAAAAGATACCAAGTTGCAGGGATTTCAGGTGACCTGTTGGAGATGGAATGAAAATACTTTTCTTGCTCATTTCCACTGTTTTTGTTGATAGTGGGTGAATTTGGGATGGTCAATCTTTTTTTTTTTCTTCTTAGTTCTATTTTTGCCTGTCAGTTTGTAATTTGTAATCCTCCTTAAAGATCAAGAGCCGGCATGGTGGCACATGCCTGTAATCCTAGCCCTTAGGAGGCTGAAGCAGAAGGATTACCATAAATTTGTTTTTTATTTATCTTTTTTCAGAACCGGGGATTAAACTCAGGCCCTTGCTCTTGCCAGGCAAGTGCTTATTTTACTGAGCTATCTCCCCGGCCCAGGATTACCATAAGTTTGAGGTCAGCCTCATCAACAAAGTAAGTTCAAGACCTGGCTGAACTACAGATCAAGACCTTGCTAAAAAAAAAAAAAAAAAAGAAAAGAAAAGAAAAATCAATAATAATAGAATTATCATAATAATGGCCCTCAAAGTGTATAATTTTCTTCAAAATGTAAATTAATGTCCATGTAAATGTATTCTATATGTTTATTAATTTAGCTAAGCATTCATGTTTTTCATTTGGCAGTAATTGTAGATTCACGTGCAGTTGTGATTAAGAAGACAGTAGACCCTTGTTTTCTTTACCCAGTCTCCCCCAGTCAGTAGCAACATTTTGCAAAACAATAGTATTTACACAATCCCTGCAAGGATTCCTCATGTCACCCTTTCAGTCGCACCCACTTCCCTTCTCCTACCCTCCTTTAATATGTTCCAATTCCATAATTCTGTTGTTTCAAACATGTTCTATAAATGTAATTATACAGTATGTAAGCTTTTCAAATTGGCTTTTTTCACTCATATTCATGCAGGTTGCTAAATGTGTCAAATAGTATTGATATGAATGGGCCACAGTTTACTTAAGTATTCATTTATTGAATCTGTGTTTTTTCCTTTTCTTTTTTTTTTTTTTGCATTTATATAATTTGTTTGTTTTGTTCTACTGAACATTTTATTTTGTAGGAGAATTTCTGTGAAGAAAATGCCTAGGGGTACGATTGCTGGATTATATGGTAGTTGGTGTTTAGTTTTTTTAATGACATTACCAAGCCAGGCATAGTATTATGTCTGCAATCCTATTACTTAGGTGAGGCAAGAGGATTGCCGTGAGTTTAAGGCCAGTTGGGGCTACAAAAGGTAATAATAAAATTTTTTAAAGAAAGAAAAGAAACTACCAAACTGTATTTGACTGAACTTCCTTACCTTCTTGCCAACATTTGTGTGTTGTTATTCTTTTGGTTTTGTTATGTTATATTTTTTAGCCATTGCTATAGGTATGTAGTGATATTTCATTGTCATTATTTTAATTTGTATTTCCCTGGTGGCTGATATTGAACATCTTTATTATCTCTAACAGAGATGCTTATATTATCTATTTTATACTGAGTTGTACTTGTCAATCAGCCCATTTCTTCCAAGTTGTCCAGTTTTATATGTATAGAGTTATTTGTATTATTCCCTTTAATCCTTTTGGGGCTATTGGGTCTGTAGTGATAGCCCCCATTTCATCCCTAATGATAACCTGTATGTTCTTTTTTATCAGTCTTGCTAGAGGCTTATCAATTTTTCTTTTAAAGGACTAGCATTTTCTCTTATTAACCTTTATTGCTTTTGTTCTCAACTTCATTAACTTCTGCTCTTATATAGATTATTTCATTGTCTGTAAAATGAAGCCAATCTTGGCCATGTTATGCTGTTGTAAGAATTAAACAAAAATGATATATATAACTACCCAGAGGAGGGGTCAGGGCATAGCTCAGTAGCATAAGTGCCTGCCTGGCAAGCACAACGTCCTGAGTTTGATGCCCGGTACCGCAAAAAATCCCAAAAAACTACCTAGAATAGAACCTGAAATATAGGTATTTTTGGGTTTTTTTTGGGTTTTTTGGTAGAACTGGGGATTGAACTCAGGCCCTTGGGCTTGCCAGGCAAGCGCTTATTCTACTGAGCTATCTCCCCAGCCCTTAATGTAAGTATTTTAATAAAATGTATTTCTTTCATTTTAGCTATCTTCCTTGATAGAATCTCCCACTTAGGAATTATGGTGATTAAAAAGAGGAAGAAC